ATCAGTTCCGATTTAATCTGAAATTTCAAACAGAATCTCAATACTTCAGCCCTTGACATAGGTAGGGTGTAAAAAATGCAATCAATCAATCAGCCATCTTCAACATTCAATATCTCCTTAACGAAGCGGTTCCGGTCCATTTATTTGCTCAAATAAAATATTTCTTTGGTACTGTCGGGAAGAAATTACTTTAGAAAAATTCGAATGGTTTATTTCATGATATATGCTTTTTGCGATTGTAATTCAAAGGGAGTTTAAACGAAACATTATTGTGCTGTGTCTTGATGCGTATAACACGTCTCATCAGAGCGCGACATATCAGAGAAGCTAATCACATATTCTGGTGTTTTGTACTGATGACCTCTACATGTATTTGAATGTACATACGTATTCATGTATTCATATATTCATGTATTCATGTATTCATGTGTTCAAGCATATTTGTACCAAAAGCTAAAGAAACTTGAAAATCTACTCTAATAATGACACAACAGTGCTAAAGTAGTTTTTTGAACATATTGCTCATGTCATCAGTCAGATGGTAATAATGGGAATATTTAAACATACTGAATAATTAGAACAAAGATATATCATTGTTGTTTTGTCAAGAACGGTTTTCAGGTAAATAAAGAATGTCAGCAATACCTGAGCCACCTTGTATAGACTCTCTATCGACGTATCTGATTGTGTTTAGATCTTTGCTTTGATATCAAACTCGCAACATTGGCTATAATATTATGTTAAACGCTGGAGAGACATTATTTCGAGTGTTTGATTGGACTGGGAAGGTAAACATACATTTTTATTCGACTTTTATTTGTTTCCGTTATTTGATTTAGAGCATATATGACGAATCCTACGGATTTAATATCGTTCGTATAACGCAATATGAAATAGATTTTTTTTGCAGTTTATGGAGGCAATTATGAGAATCATATGGGACCCACTTTGCCTCAAATTCAACAAGCTCTGGTGATCACATTATTGGATTCCATTGATGTTCTATTGTTACAAAAAGGTTTAATTTCGAAATTGCTATAAATCTTTTCTAATGTACCCTGGAAAAATTGGTTTTTCATGTAAACCTAAATTAATGGATATAAAGTATTTTCTCTATTAGAAATACATACAAGCTGTTACAAATTCGCTTCTCACTACAGGGATCTCGGAAACAGTAGGGGATGCGAAGTAGCTTAATTGGGGCAAAGTTGCATAGTCAGGGGACCTACATTATGCCCCTAAAAAATCAAGGCTAACATGATTAGTTTTCGAAATATTAAAAAAACGAAATTTTGGAAATCCGTTTTTGTTTGATTTCAGCCTTGTTTGAGGTGATATTGAAAAAAGAAGGACAGTTTCTCGTGGCAATTTTTTGCTCTCTATCGAATGGCATAATAAATTTTTATATGGAACGTTTTATCTCTACCTACAGGACCATCATCAGCTTGATTTTTTAAAATACAAACCTTTAAATTTTATTACATTTTTTGTAAGCCTTTATGACCCCTTGTCTCAGCCCGAATCAGATTTCGACGTCTTGTCTAAAAAAATCATCTTCAATGTATTCGTTCCAAATGTACATTTACATTTACTGTAATTTTTTAAAATATAATATTCATTTTGCGTTTTGGTTGTTCATATTATCACCTCAAATAAGGCTGATATGAAACAAAATCGGATTTCCAAAATTTCGATTTTTTTCAAATGTTTCGAAAACTAATCATGTTAGCCCTGATTTTTTAGAGGCATAATGTTGGTCCCTGATTATGCAACTTTGCCCCCATTTAAGCTAGTTTGTATTCCTTACCGTTTCCGAGATCTTTGTAGTGAGAAGTGAATTTGTAACAGCCTGTACAGAGTAAAAAAATACTAAAATTCTTTTGTGCATAAGAACTTTGTATTTACTGATCGATTTTAATTAACTTCTTTTTGTATATGAACCTAGTGCAATGGTCAATTGCATCTATTTGTTGAAAAAATGGTCGCAAAACAAACGATTTTTTTGGTGGAGAAAAATCCAAAGGGCTCTTATTAAGAATATCCTGAAACGCATAATAAGTTTTTACCTAAAAATAAAAATATGTTATACATACCTATGTATAATATATTTTTAAAGAAAGATCATAAGTTTTAAATGTTTTTGTCGCAACTACAGTTTTTCCAGTTGTTCATTAGTAATAGGTACTTATTTTGATTGATTTGATAGAGGATGATTTAACAAAATGTATTCTACTGAAAAAAACTGCAAATACAGGGTGATTCAGAACATATCCAAAAAAAATGCTGGATGTACAAGGGACCCTTACAAATACAATTTTGTAAAGAAAAAATCAAAAAGGCCAGTTCGAAAATGATTTAAAAATACACTTCTGCACGGCACTGGAAATTGGTCCACTGTAAAACCTGACCCCGCACAATGCGACCGGCATGGCGGTGTGATATAAACGGACAAAAACTTTCGCAAGGAAAGAAATATGTAAATAGAATTTTATAGTAACTCTTTTATATCGGCAAATTCAACTGCTTTTGCCTTTATTAATTAATAAAATTAATTTGTTTTTAAATAATAAAATCATTTGACATACCCGATATTACAACAAAAATTGTTCAAAATTTTATCCACCAACGTGTAAACACATTTGGGTCCGTCTTACTCAGTTTCTACGAACTAACACAAATGTTGTCTTGCTTCACCATAACACAAATGCTTCAACATAAATTAAAACGATATCCATCAACTCCGAGTTGCTATCCACGCAAGCCATTTTTGACACTAACTATTAAAAAACTATTGTAAACACCACAGATAACAGGTAAACACTATGGCAACGACGATTGCAAAATCGGATTTCAGTAATCCGAGTCGCTGAGGCCACGTGGCTCTCCACGCGTATTGCGAATGACGCTAGAGACTACAGTTGTCCAGCTATGCAGTGGTTGAATGTACTATAACTTCAATAATTTTTTTCTCGGAAACTATAAGAATCTTACAAAAAATTTTTTTACGATATTGACTCCATATTTCATGCCGCATCTATTCCCAATTTTTTTTGGATAAGTTGTGAATCACCCTGTATAATACACTGTAGATAAAAATCTGTTTGTTGATATGCGACTGTAACTTTAGAAAAACTGAGGAGCAAGCATATAAAACGATACGTTTTATCCATATCGAAATAAATATAATAAAGGACCCCGCACAAATCTTATGGAAATTGGGTCCCGGTCAAATTCGCTGAATTTTTGATATGTGATAGAGTTCATCATACTGGTCAATTGTCTCAATGGCCACAAAGCTCAAAAATGGATAGTTTGGCCGGTACAGAGCTTTAAAGCTCCGAATATCCTCCACGGATTTATGTATATGCGCAGTGTGTATAGACTTTTGAAATAGCCTATTTCATTTTTTTTATTATCTAGGTTTATATTTTTGAGGTTGCTGAATTCAGATCTGTTGTTAGATTTTCAAAATTGACAGTTGGCAGCTGTCAAATAGCTGTCAATGTGCTATAATAAAGCCAAAAACTTGTTTTTTTATGTTTTATCTTTCTTTTTTTTTAGTTCGATAAGTTCAAAGACGATATCAAATCAATAACAATGACTATCGGCAGCTGTCATTTAGCTGTCAACAATTCTTCAAAGTCCGGTAATAAAGTCAAAAAATTATTTTTTGTTTATAACTTCAAGTTTTTTAGATAAGTGAATATAAATATGATATAAAATTATGTAGTCATCAGCTTACAGCTGTCAACAAGCTGTCAACTAACTGTCAAAATGCAATAATAAAGTCAAAAAGTTACTTTTTTTAAAAAGCTTTAAGTTGCTTAGATCACTGAGTTCAAAAGTGATGTCATAAACTTATATCATGTTTGATTTCTTATCCACAAAGTTAAGCACAAAAAATAAGTTACTTGCTCTATTATTGCATTTTGACAGTTAGTTGACAGCTTGTTGACAGCTGTAAGCTGATGACTACATAATTTTATATCATATTTATATTCACTTATCTAAAAAACTTGAAGTTATAAACAAAAAATAATTTTTTGACTTTATTACCGGACTTTGAAGAATTGTTGACAGCTAAATGACAGCTGCCGATAGTCATTGTTATTGATTTGATATCGTCTTTGAACTTATCGAACTAAAAAAAAAAAAAAATAAATCATAAAAAAACAAGTTTCTGGCTTTATTATAGCAAATTGACAGCTAGTTGACAGCTGCCAACTGTCAATTTTGAAAATCTAACAACAGATCTGAATTCAGCAACCTCAAAAATATAAACCTAGATAATAAAAAAAATGAAATAGGCTATTTCAAAAGTCTATACACACTGCGCATATACATAAATCCGTGGAGGATATTCGGAGCTTTAAAGCTCTGTACCGGCCAAACTATCCATTTTTGAGCTTTGTGGCCATTGAGACAATTGACCAGTATGATGAACTCTTATCACATATCAAAAATTCAGCGAATTTGACCGGGACCCAATTTCCATAAGACTTGTGCGGGGTCCTTTTAAATTTAGATGAATTTAGGAAACAATCGATTTAAATTATCTTTAAAAAATAATTCTGAATACTATACTCCTTTAGAAATACATGTTGAAATGCTACGACCTGCCGCCGCTTTAAAGGTATGTACATAATGTATTGCACACTTCTATGCAATTTTCTTTAAATGTTGATGAATAGACCACATGGTTAAAATACTCTATTTCTACTATATGCAAAATATATTGGCAATGTCATTTTCATTTTTCATTCAAAACTAGTTCCCATAGTTTTCCGAAATTATTTAAAAAATATGAACCCCATGACGCCAGTACACAGCCACCAAGTGATATGGAAAAGAGCGCATCACGAAAAACAAAAACATCTCTTACGTTCACTTACGTGTAGAACATGGAATTGAGCTTCAGTGTCACGTTATACACACCCAAGTGTACGAAAAAATTGGGTTACATCAAGAACACCAACAGAACAACTACAAAAGCTACTCGCGTTCCGATAGAAGACGCCCTGGACGCCTCCGGGCGTCTGGTAGTGCCCTGCTTGATGGTGATAGGTGTGGGCCGAAACTCGGGAGGACAGGGCAGGTCCGCCAGGGGGATCGACGTCAGATATACCTTGTCGTCCGGCTCCTCGTCTTCTGACTCATCTGCATTCTCTTTGGCGTCGGGAAATTGGGACTCAAAGGCGAAGGTCTTATCGAGAGGGGGGCAGCCTATATTTTCGTACGTTTCCGCCGTTGTGGCCACCTTGTCTTCCGGTTGGAGTTGACACTGTAATTCTTCCAGGGAGTTCCGGATGTGCGGCTGGGTGGTTTTGTCGCGCAAGAAGTAGACCCAGTCTAGGCGGCAATCGCAACTGAATCTGTTTCCTAGAAAAAAGAAATCAGTAAGTAACCTGTCACATACAGGGTGTTTCATTGAGAATGGAACACAGTGGGAAATTCCGGAAGTTAAAATATGCTTCCTTAAAAAAAATATATTTTCTTTGTTTCTTTCAAATTGTGTCTTTATGTCTTAAATATTTTTAGTTAAATGCTTATTAGGTACATATGGAACACAAATTCTTTAAAAAATATATAAAATTGATGTAATTAGATAATCTATAAATACTTAATCACCTGGTACATTACGTAGTGTGTAATAAAACAGTTCGGTCCTAATGCTATCCCATTCTTATCTTGGACACACTGTATATCTATGAATTCATCAAAATTTAATACACTAATCGATCCTACGGAAAAATTATTATTTATTATATTTATTCACTATTCGACTTAGGTTTATAGCAATACTGTACAAAAATAAAGTTTTGGGTCTAACAACGAGACAGACGAGTTTTTTTTTCCGTAGAATTGAATGGTGTAATCAGTTTTTGAATTTATTTTAATTTAAACAAATTATCAACTATTATTGAAGATTGATTGTTGCAAGTCATTTTTTATTTTTTTTGCATTTTTGAGCATGGTTTCGAACTGTGATAACAGTTTTTTTTTTTTTTCACCAAAAAGTATGTTAAAACGAAAAAAATGGTTACCGGCAGAACTCCGTACCATGACTTCTCTCTAAGTAGAATTTTTCTTTGAAAAAAAAGTGTTTCAGACCGGAAAAAATGAATATCTCGGAAACTTCTTGATTTTTTTATCTAAAAAAATTTGTGATTACAAAATTAAATTATTTTTGCGCAAATGAGAAATAAAAAACGAGAAATAAGAAAAAAACCTGTTTTTCGCATTTTTCTCGGAAATTTTGAGGTTATCTTAAAAAGTGACCTCTACAAAGGTAGATTTTTGCATGATCTACAACTTTTGTATGAGATACTTTTTTGTTTGACGTCAACTTTCGCCAGAAATATCAACGACACAATTTTTCACAACTTTTTAATCCCCCAAATCAACCCTCCGCCACCCCTGCTTACGCATTTATTTTTTTTAGGTTTATTATAAGCCCTTTTACCATTTCCACTTACAAAAGTCTAGGTAACAATTTTTTTTTCTACAAGTGTAGTTTGGTTGGACTACAGTTTTAATTTGTTTTCAGAGAACAACACTCCCACCCAAGTCATCCACTGCACAGATAAATTACAGGTTTCTTTCCTTCTACTTCTTCCAACGTCATTGGTTAATGGTTAAACCTCAGGAAAACTTTCTCTTCTTTCTAATGGCTATACATTACACAATTTTAACTGTGTGGTTCAGTCTATACGGACAAAGAGTAATGATCTGATTATTTATTCCAGTTTGAACTAGCAATATATAAAATTAATGCAAAACGTGTGAAGTATGGCAACGACGGGCCATGTTTTTAGTTCGCACACTTTTGATTGCAGACTTAAAATTGTTTAATACATATGTGTAGGGCTCATAACTTAACATTTATGAGACACTTAGCACTAAAACTTTCAAAAAGCAAAGCAGCATAAGTACAAACTTTAAAACACAATGATGCAGTAAAACGTAGTATTAAATCGTATGGCATTTATTGAACAGTTGTGTCCCAGTTATAACCCTACCCGTTCGACGATTCGAATAAATAATTCAGCACTCTATAACTTTAAACAAATATTTTGCCCCGATCGGGACAACAAAGGCGGTGGATGCCGTGAATGTATTTATTCATATTCGACCGCAGAGGTTCCTCCGCATGCACGGAACCAAACGGAATCAATAAAATTCAACCGCCTGGAGACAGCTGCGGGATTTTTTAAAGCAGAAATAAATTCGAAAATAACAACTCCTGCTGAATTATAAATGAAAAATGTACCCAGATGTATCATATATAGGTTAGCTTCGACTGGCGTTCTCTTGTTCTGGGCTGGGTAATTTATAGCGTGGAAGGAAGCGAGATTTGTCATTTTTTTCCGTTATTTCTTAACCTTCATCCTACCGGGCGGGGTACAGACGTGCCGGAATTTCTGCTATATTTTTTTATTTTCCTATTTTATCTTTGCTTAATTTTATTTATTGTCATTTGTATACAGGATGCAACTTTAAATGTGGGTCATATTTATACGGAGACTACTTTCAGACTAACCAAATTTTTGGTTCTAAGTTTATCAGTCTCTGGGTTTGTTTCCGTCCAACATTAGCATATTGGCGTTCAAAGCTCCCATAATATTTTAAATGTTGAACCAATTGTACAAACAGCTTCTTATTCAGTATTTGTCCGTCGGGATAATCCATCTGATCGTCTTCTTGCAACAGCATCGTTTTCTCCTGACAAAAAGTAGGCTCCGACTTTTTCTGTTGTTTTTTACCGATTTACCATCCCGTCCTATCATACCAGGTGTGAAGTCAACTGGCAGTAGCTCCTGAACAGCAAAAACTAACAATACGAAATAATAACGATGTTATTAATGAGGATGATTATGATGACGATGACAATGCCGATGATTACTATCACAGCAATCATGACACTGGTAATAAAATGTTAATAACTTTGAACATAATGTAATTATTTTTACGTCGTAATTATGTACATCTTTAATGCTACTACTACTTAACTACTATTTAAAGGTACTACTTTCATTCATAGACATGTTACCTATATTTATTTAATATTCCATATACGTACGTCATTTTTATTTGGGGTAGAGTTTAGAGTAAAATTTAAAGGATATTTTACAGAGGGGTCTATTTTAAATGTATTAATTCTTCTATTTGCTGGTACAACCATATCATTAACGTTACTAGAGGCAGACAGAGGAAACGTAACATTTAGTGAGCTGTCTGTGTAGTGAAATTGGTGTAAGCCCAATTTTTTAAAATACAACGTTACTCTGAAGTAAGCTAGACACGCGTTTAAATATATCAAAATGTGTCTGCTCTTTTGTCAGGCGAATTGTTTAGGGAATATTATTTTATAATTTGGCAGGCGCGATGTTAACAAAAGAATTTTTCAATTGTTTTTACGCGAAACTGAAACTTCCTGCTCAATTAGTAATTTTCACTTTATGAAACGCGTCCGCGTTCTAGAGTACTAGAATGAGTTGGTTGGAATGCAATCAACTTCTCCCTCTTAGGATATGCATGTTGTATATAAAATGCTTCTGTAACCTGAGGGGTTATTTCTTTACTTATCGCTATGACCAGTATCATAACGGTGTTAACTGACAAAAGAGTTATTATTAACTTCTCGAAAGGGAGTTTATAATTATCATTACACTTTAATTGATACGTTTCTGTTCTTATTCTACTGGCGGGAACCCTGAATATATGGACGCTTTGGCATAACTATGCCATGTAGTTATCTAATGGACTGAATTTATATTTATATAAATAATTCTGACTAACTGGACTTACAAGTAACCCTAGCCTTCCACTAGTGACTCCGTGTAGCAATACGGGACGGATTAGTCAATCTCATTTAATATATTCTTATAGCATAGAAAATCTGCCTACAAACCAGCTATTTGACCTATTATTATTTTTCTAACAACTTCCAACAACTTATTCTTGGAATTCCTACGTTCTTTGGAATGCATTTCGTTCGTTATTTGAAAACCTACTTGAAAACCCTTAACTTTCCTGGCTTTTGTTACACTTCGTTTTCGAAATAATTATGTGTTAAAAATTAACACACGTGCTTTACTTCAAATTGCAAAGAACAGCAAAGAGTTTTCATATAAATAACTTTACTTTTTAATATATTTCATTGATGGACAATGTGACAATTTAATTTAATTATCTAGTTAATCTTAGGTTAATTAGTTATCAGTCAATATAATATACTAAAAATTATTAAATTACATGGAGCAAAATATGTATATAAAATAAAAGATTTGCTACCTCCATTAGGTTAATTAGTATTATAGATCGTTTTTCCAAAGAGTAAACAGATTTTGATTGATTGTCAATGTTTAATTCGACAGTTTAATTATAACTGAAATGGAATCATATCAAAATCAAGTCCGTAAGCCGAAATCAATCATTTAAAATATAACAATTCTGGTTTTGCTGCGTTTTTGTTTAAATTTATAATGAATTACATGTTTTCGCTGATTTTGCGTTGCCAGTAAATGAAATTGAGCTGATGTTCGGATGCAACAAAAACTGACTATAAATTGCTTTCAGTACAGCAAACATGATGAGTTATAAAATAATGTACTGTAACTGTAATGTAACTTTTTTTATGTGAAAGCTATATTTTTTCGGTACTTTCGGGCTGTGTCGTCAAATGAAACAAACAAACGTCGCGAATGTTGAAAGGATAGGTATATAAAAAAGCTTAAAATTAACTTTCTTTCGTCGAACGTTCTTTTTAATATATGTACTTGTTTCCCGATACATAAGTTGTTATTAAATACTTATGTCAAAGGTTGTCACAAAATAACTCATTAAAATGTTTGATTGATTAATTAGACAACTCGTTAGTCAAAGTTTCATCAATTCAGGCGAAACATCCTCAGGTGCATTGGAATATGTACTTTTATACTTAACCATCTTGTATCTCGAAAATCAGTGACTTTAGATCATTGGCTCATTAAAACATCTGGTCTAAAATGGCCTTAGGAATATTCACCTTATGTTAAGGTATTGAGAAAATGCGCTCTGAATCATTATACAGTATAAATTATTTTTTAGGAAACGGCTTTTTCATTATACATTATATTTAAATATGTACAAATAATTAATAAGTAATTACAGCAAAGCTCGTCATAAGTTGATACATTCATTATGAGTTTTGGAACTAGGTCAGTCTCTAACTTATAGTTATTCACTTTACAAGTTACTCCAGCCTTTAATATTAAAATACATAGTTTGGAAAATTGTTCTTCTCCATTTTTTTCAATAACTCCTTTATAACGTTTAGATTCATGTTGACATCGATATTTGAAATAAGCACTACTAATTCAACTTTTTCAAATTACATACAGGTAAACCGAATTCATTTGAACTCTGAGATAGGACACGCAGTGGCAAAGTAGTTTTAATATAATTGAAATAAGGATGACTTCAACAAAATATTATAAATCGTAACGAGTTAAAAAGATTTCGTGAAAATAAATTCTCCAGGTATGTTTGGCATCGGGTGGCATAAGTTTTTATCAAATTTTATTTCGTTTATAGGATAGTAAATGGTTAAGTTAGTCTTGGCTATAAAATAGGCTATGGTCATGGTACGAGGTGATATATGATGGTTGTGGACAAGATGTTGATCGCAATGAGCTGGTTGCAAAGGTATTGCAATAATCATTATATATATCATTAGAGATACATTTTTATGTATAAACTTATAGACAGGATATCTCGGACTAGTTTTAAAATTAGCTCCAAAGAATGATTTTATTTAGTATGTTCTGAATTGCTGTTATACCCTTAGGAAGCATTTTAGAATATAAATGTTCATATAAACTTTTTTCATTACAAATATATACACAAGATATCTAAACTTTACGAGACAAAAAATACGGAAATTCTGTGTTTCTGTGTTTTGAATGTAAACATAGAAGTTATGGACAGGTAAAATATAGCACCCTGTATATCACTCTCTTGTTAGACTTAAATAAATGAAAATGTGTATCAAATAAGAAGCATCTTGTGTTAAAGTTGTATGAAAAAACATTCGAGTCAAGGTGGTGTAAATCTTAGGAACTCGGAAATTTTTTGTGACTCGTTTATACAGGGTGGCCTTTTGAAAACAAAACAGAGCGAATTATTTTTCGGAAAAACGCCGATACATGTCGATTTTTGATCGAAGGGGAATATTTTTTCATATAAATTTCTTGTTACAGACTCTACCCCCCTAGGCAGGGGGGGGAGGGTTAAGTGACACATAGTTTGAAAGGTACTCTAATTCTCTACACAGCCGTGTTTTATTTTTTTAATTTGACCGATTAATTTCGGAGATAGAGGTTGTTAATAAAAAAACTACTTTTTACTTTATTTGCAAATTACTACATGTCAACCAATTAAGTGTTCAAATTGGTGACCTACAGCCTCCAAACAGTAATATAAGTTTTGTAAAAAGCATTTATGCACATTTTGTAACATTGGCTGTATTCGTTGACAATGCGCTGGCGTATATCTTGAAGGGAAGCAGGTGGAGTTAAATAAATTTTGGACTTTAAGTGACTTCAGAAGAAAAAATCCAAAGGAGACAAATCCGGCAATCGTGCAGGCCTTTCCAGACGCCTCTTCTCCCAATCCACTGAATCTCACAGGCAGACCGTAATGTGGGGAGCTCCATCCTCTTGGAACATCAACTGGTCTTCGAGAAAATTCTTATTATTCCGTTAATGTTTGTCAACGCCGGAAAAATAATTTTCCTGAGTCATTCGCTCTGTTTCGTTTTACCTGTATATTCATTTCAGAGATACTAGTACAAACAATTTTTTGCCCTCAAATGAGTGACAGCCACTGAAAATATAACACCGGTTCAGACTTCAGTTATTTTTAATCGCTTTCAAGAAAACGCATTTCCCCAGATAATATATTGATTAACTTGTACATGTTACTAATGTAAGTATGGATATGAGTATAATAAATAAAAGAATAATTGCTATTGTATATTATAATAGTGTGAGTGTTATAATTTTGACATAACGACCCGCCTTCGATATTGTTGTACGGGGATCAAAACAAATAGATTCGAGTTATTTTGTGAAGGCTGGAACTTCCCTCATTTAAGTAAAATAGTAATTAAGGGCAGAAGGTCTTTTGTTTGTTCCCTAACATTAGCATGCATTATTTATAGGGCTGTGACCCTAATTTTGTATTTAAATTTAGTAACATATTTTTTTATGTATTAAAGTTGAGGAATATTAAGTACATTTCCAAGAATGGAAACGAAAATTCTGTGGTTGTTCATGTAGTTGTTAATTCCCCTAATTAAATCTTTTCCTTGTGTATGGTT